GACATGCCACTATTACTTTTCAAAATTGTATTTTTGGTTAAGCCACCTCCAGATATTATCATTCGTGAAAAGCATTAAGTTCTAGGAGTGCTTGGCGGACATATTTTGTCCAGCCAATGTTGTTTTTCGGGTAATATCTATATTTATGGTTAATATTCTCCTATAAAGATGCTAGATTTGAACATCAGTCCACAAAGCTCTTTGATGCAAAGATGCAAGTAAAACATGAATATTCAGATAGTATCATAACTATTTGTATGAATTTAAGATTAGTAAGTGCATTAGCAAAACAGGTTTACATAACATTTATATCATTTAAATTATATACAAAAATTGTTTTAACCAATTCTATCATTTGATAAATACATGTATTGTTCTTTACATCATTGTGCCCCTCCAGTGGTGATGTATGTGCATGACCTAATACATACCTTACTAACTGACTAACTTGATTTGTACCATGATATGAGCTCAGGTGAGAGATTCAAGATAATGGAAAGAAGGCCGTACAAGAAGAACGAGATGCAAACACAGACAGCAGGTGGATACGGGCTGAAGAGGGATGCCGCCGGTATGTGCAGATGGTACGTGACGTGTACTGACCTTACAGACGCGCGCCACCCTGGGGATGAGCAGCTTGCCAAAGAATTCGTACTCCACCGACACCTCGGTGAAGAAGTAGTAGATTTTATCGTCCTCGCCGTCTGCTTTGTTTCCCCCGTCACTGATCACGTCGGCAAAAACGAAACTGGGCTCTGCAAAGAAAGCAGAGAGAGAGGCATCAGTAAAAGGGAATGTAGGAAGGACAATAAATATGTATCTGTCACACTGAAATAACAGCTGTACACTACTTAATCTGACACACCTTATTTTTCATGAGCTATTAAATCCAATGACTGGAGGTCCAAAGGTGGAAAGATATTAAGTTTATAAGCTTAAATTATTGATATGAACGAAAGTTAAACTGGAGAATTTGACTCCTGAAACCGATGCGTCGCAACGATGAGGGAAAGTCCACTTGCGGCTGTACAGTGTTGTTACAGAGTGGAGTATATTTTACTTCATGAACAATTTAATTTTGGCCTGATATCAAGTTTCTCACAGAATTCACATTAACAAGCGGCAGCTGAAACAACCTGCTGCTGGCAACGATTTTGTCATTTCAATTGGTATTATGAACAGCAGAGACACTGATCCATCTCTTCCTTCTCTCTCATCCATTACTTTATTGACATTAACTCAAGATGTTCACTCATCACATATTGCCCCTACTCACCATTGAGCCACGATGTGGAGTACTCCGTCCTCAGCAGGGACTGGGATGGAGAGTATCTGGAAATAATCGGTTCACTGCCTAAGAAGTTATAAGACGTCCCTGAATACAGTTCTCCATCTGACAGAAAAGCGGAGAATAAAACAAAAACAGCAATTTATTTTCCAAGCAAATCCATTTTGCCTCCCAAAATAACAGATTATTGGGGATTATTGTGCTTTTTATAGCAGGGCTGACAACCAACAGAGCTCTTTGTGAAATGACATAAAACTGGGCCCCAACTCACCAACCATGACGGTAGTAAAGCTTTGCGACGGGTCAAAGGAGCACTTTCCCCGGCCATCTTCAGGTCGACCGTCCAACGAAAAGTCAGCGAGGTTCTGAAAGAGGAGCTCACGGTCAAATTTGAGTTGTCAGCTGCGGGGGATGATTGGAGAGCCCCGGCACATGTTTATTATTGCAGTGTGGTGTTTCCAGTTAAGGAGGGATCGAGCATTGACCTACCAAGTAGTCACACTGAGGTTGGAATGCGTGCGTGCCGCAGACATACAGCCGCTCATCGTCTACGACTTGGAGCACTCTAATGTAGTTCAGACAATCTCTCTGGAAGGCAATCAATGAGCAAATTAGAAGACACTTGTTTATTGTATTGACACGACAGAGAGTGATTCTGACAACATATCGGTTTAGAAAAAACAACACCAACAATAAATTATAATTATTATTGAACAAACCTCTTTTGATTTTCCTTTTTGCGTGCACATCACCATGGGGTTTTCCGCAACTGTCCATTGAACCTTAAAATCATCATTTTTTTTAAAGAAAATCATTACTCAAATTGAACATGTTTTTTCCTTCCCGTTAGGAATGTCATTTGTATTTTTGGTACCTTGTTGTTTTTGACCGTCACATTCTTCTTGCTCAGCTCAAAGATGGCCTCCCTGGCTCCCACATACAGCGCGTCTCTTTTCTCACTCAGCAACAACGTGGAGTAGTTGAAGATCTCAGGCTCCGAAAACTCCATCAGATCTAAATCTGAGCACAGAACCATTGGATCACATTGCTTTACCGTCCCCAAAAAGTCTCTTATTAACAGTTGTATTCAGTAGTATTGAGAATTTAATTTAAAGCCGCTATGATCAATATCTCTATATTAACATTGGACCACGTGACTATGTGGGAAGAGTCTCTTGTAGTGACAAACCCACAGATAATTATCACCAAACTCTCCAGTTCCTCCTCAGCTCTACAGAGCGGTTTAACCGCTTCCAGCTCATCGTTTTGGTTTGAACAGAGCGGATGCTGCCTGCTCAACGCCAAACAGCAGACAGACAGAGTTAGCGACTAGCTGGTGAACATAGTGGAGTCATATTTATTTCTCAGGGGTTGGTGGAGACAAAAACGGAGCTAAAAGCAGAGTGAATGTTGGATTTACATTTATAAGTTGGACAGAAACACGACTCAAAATGAATACTAATGTTGCTTAGTGCTGGATGTTTAAACATACGCCATCTCGCTAACAAGTTCATCATAACAACTTTAGAAACAGATAATATGTCAGTACAATGTTAACAGCTTGTTTATGCTGCCCCCAAGTGGCCAAAAAACAAAAACATTTAATGCAGGTTCAAGTTACACCTTAAGTTCATCAGGAGTAAACGGGTAAATTTCAACAGTTCAACAACAGGTAACAGATGTAATCTGAGATAAAGATAGTTTCATTTTGCCTCTCAGAGTGCATCTCTCGTGGAGCGCTTGTGTCTGGCTGGCTCTGCCTGTGCCAGGTGCAAGTGGGTTCGGGTTGCAGGTGCCTGGACGTAAACACCACAACGATGAAAGCAAATAGCCTCACTGACAGACTGAAACACCGACTGTGCCACAGTGAGCGGAGAAACTTTGTTAAAGGGTGAGCTGCACTGGTTCTCACAGAGTTACTGGAGCTATTTATGTAAATGGGAGCATGCAAACAGAACGTCCGCCGGACGCCTGAACGCTCTAACTTGAGAGCTGCGGTGAGTCTGAGGTTCGTTTGAGATACAGTTAAGAAAACAGGTGTCCCCTGACTATATGGTGAACCTTGAGTGGAAAGAGGTTTCATAAATCACAAAGATCTGTCCATCTGTGTGGTGTGAAGGCTCAGCTCTCCACGCATTGCTAGTGGAGCAACTTAAGTTCATGTTAGCGTCTCTTGTTTTAACATTGTGTAAGCTCATAAATACCAACTCAGTCTAACAAGTACGACCTCCCAAATTGAGTGGCCGTAGACTCTGACTCAAGCAAGCTTTCAATTTAAATCAGCACAGAGGTTTCAAGAGAACATTTACCAGAAGTGATTTACATTTACTGTAAAGAGGACATTATGTTATTTACTATTATTAGCAAATGTTTGGTATTTGTACCTAAAGAACAATTCGTTATCCAAACTGCAACCATTATTTCTTTCAATTGCGTAACACCTTATGTTTAATCACTCAGAAATGTTACATTTAGATTATTTTATTTATATAATGGCATCAAATCTCACCTTGGTGTCTCCAGGAGGTTCGAGGCACAGCATGCGGTCCGTGGGTGGAGACCTCCAGGAGCAGCCCCAGAAACACTCCCAGCACGCCAAATCCCATATTGGACTCCGATAACTTCGGAACGGTGAAGTTTCCTCTGCAAGACAAAAAGTAAAAGCAATACACTAAAACCTTGTGCTCAAAAATGTATATTCTACAGGGATGTAGAAATGACCGGCTTCCTCACAGGCTGATATCTTATCATGCAGCACACACACGCGCTCAAAAGGGGGAAGGCATCAAATCCACTTCCCTCATACTGAAAGCTGGCGGGACTGATTCATCCTCTTTGTGTCGCTTAGTAGGTTAGTAAAGCCAACACACGCATTTGAATAAAATCAACGGAAGAAGATGTTTTGGACAGAAACTACACAATATATTTAAAAAACACACTCCTACAATAAAAGCATGTGTGAAATTTATGTTTTTACATTTCAAGTATTCTTTTACAGAAATGACAGTTAATTAAATATCTTTGGGTTTTGGACTGCAACATTGTGATGGCCATTTTTCACAAACAAAACTCATATTTTAAATACTAATTGATGAATCAATGAATTGAGATAATAATCTGCAGATTAATCAACAATGACTAATAATTGATAGCAGCTTAGGAATGTTATGAAATGTCAAAAAACCTAGTGTGCCTTTTTTATTTTTCATGTGCTTTATTCATTTGGGTTGTTAAACAAATGGTGTACACAGCAGTCAGCTGCAAACGTCACCTAATAATCAGGAACTTATGCTAATCATGTCCGTTCTCTCTTTCACACCACAAAAAAAAGGATAGTTCATAAACAACTCTGACAATTGCAATTTTGATACTTTCCTGTCAGTGGAAATCTTAAAGCTTTTTAGCCAATGACTGGTTGCGTTTTGGATCTCGGAAACATTTCAGAAATGCAAAACAACAAAGCAGGTAGACGGATGGATGAGAAGCTCCATCAGAGAGGGGGCAGTGAGGAGGAAAGAGAGTGAGGGCTGCAGCACGTGATGAGGTCCTGAACTAACACTTATAGCGGCATTAAACTCTATTAACAGTGCCGTTTATGTTGTGCGTGTTAGGACTACTGTATGACACTTCAGTTGATGTCGGCATGTGCGTTAAGCAACAACTTAACACCTTAAGGCTTAAGAAAATCCCCCCTTTTAGAAAACGTATTATACTCCGCCGCACTATTGTTTAAGCACAGTAAGAGGTGTATCCGTTTGCCTCGGGTGATGATGACGACAATGGGGATGACGACAACATTCCTGGCATCTATCGGCTCTTATCAGATGCAGGTGTCGTTTTCTATTTATCCAATTTGTGCAGCTGTGTGATCCTTCTGTCTTTTAACAGCTCCGTCCCGGTGCATCCACTCACGATGCGCCTGATAAGGACTCCATTAGGCTGCTCTGTGCCTTTTCTAGAAGTCCATCATTAATCCAGCCCGAGCTCAGGAGGTCCATGCTTCATATATTCAATAAAACCTAAAAAACGTCACTGCAGATTCTTCTAGTAAAATCAATAAAGTATTCCTAAACGCTGAGAAGTGATATAATAAATAGTTAACGGTACTTTTGGTCACAAATGGTCTCAATAAATCTCGACATTGCATAAAATAAAAAACAATGTCACAGTTCAATATAGGACAAGTACATGGATTTATCTTGAAATGCTGTGCATTTTATTTTGGATCTCAAATATAGAAGATTCAGTTATTATAACTAATAACATTTTTGTTTTTGTCTAAAATGGTGATATATCCTCTGGTTGACCAAACCGCATTTCAAGTGGCCTGTTTTAGGTCAGCAGAAAAGCTGGGAGTGGGGGGAGCTCATGCTTTAAAGCTTAAGTTAAATATTAAAATAAATCTCTAAATCTGTTCTCAATCCTGCTTGTAATACATGCAAGGTTGGCCAAATGTACTGCGAGGCAGGGCACGGGCAAAATAATCTTAAAGGTCAATTTTCATGACGGTCAAGCAAATTCATTCTGACACGGACGGAAGAGTGATTACTCTTGTCAATATTATCCACACTGAAATGGTATTAACTCAGAAAAGTGATTAACTGACATAATTCAATTGTAAGATTCAAGTGCTTCCCGTCTCCTGATCCAATCACGCGAGTGTGGGGCGTGTCGGCAACAGCCACAGCTTTGTACCCTGACTTTCCTCTCGTTTAACGCAGATGAAGTTGGCTTTTACGTTAATGGGGAGGACGCTGAAGGCCAATGTTGTTGTTGTAATAGACAGAAGGCAGCTGGCTCTGGTTGGCGATAGCACGCAGTCCTCTTGAGGAAGTAAAGCGATCTGGCACAAAGCAGGTCATTCTGGTTTTGCTAAAGTATCCGCAGCACACCTCCGCAAAATGGGTGGGCCGGTCACATGGGGATAAAAGGTTATCGGATGTCTTGTAAGACGAGGACTGAGATAAAACTTCTCTCTCACAGGCTCATGTCTCAGTAATATGGATCGAATTAGCATTCAAGCTACTGAAAATAATGGTGTCGACTTAAAAGTTGGCTGAAAGAAGGCGTAGTGAATGAAAACGAGGGGAATGTAAAGCGTTTTTTACTGCTTCATTAGGTCATTTGTCCTCATTTTAAATTTACCAACTGAAATGAGAGAACAAATAATTCGACAATAGGACAAATAAATCATTGTCAACAACATTTTAACTGACCTAGTAGCACCAATGTGGCTCATCACGCTCAAATATAGGTTAGTCATCAATTACACAGCCGAGGGGGCGATATATCATGTGGCGATCAATGGGGGTCACCACAGCGAGAGAACGATAATTGATTATTGATGTGGTTGTAAATAAGAATAAATTACCCCAGAGCTATGACCCTCATAACACTGGGATTGTTTTGGGGTTTTTTTGTGAGGGTTTCCACCCACTAAATCTGGCAAAGGTGGAATTCCATCCCGGCTTCAGCCCAAGCCATGGACTCCAATCTGCTAAAGAGGGGGTCAAACACACAAGGACCTATTGTTTGCTGAAGATGAGGGTAGCCTCCACTCCAATCCACTCCAACCCCCTCCATCACATCCACATCATCACTGCAGAGTTGGCAACAATGAACAGAGAGGGAGAGAGAAAGGAGGGAGGACAGAGGACGAAGTACAGAAGAAAGGCATCACTTCTCCCTCTCATCCTCTTCTTTTACAGTCTTGCCAATCTAAATGCCAACACAGCTTAAGCCCTGAGCCAAGCCAGGGTTTTCAAAAGGTCGCACAAGCCCATGAGATGTGGAAGCATCCCGTAAGGATGATCCATAAACTGTCCGATGGCGGCAGAAGAAACCGTTAAACAGAGACGGGGAGAAAGGAAGGGAGTGACGTAGCCACAGTGTGAACGGATGAGATAACAATTCTAAATCCATGGGGAAAAAAAAAAACCAGACAAACAAAAATTCATCTCTCTTCTCAGCCTCTAGTTTTTGGCTTGTTTTCCTCGAACACGCTGCGGAAATAAAAGACTCAAACTGGACTCGTCCCTCCGTGTGTGCACTCCTGACGCCCTCTATCAATCTCACCACTCTGAACCCCGTTGGGGGCAAACTTAAAAAAAGCTTTGAGAGTCAGTGTTACAGTAGCAGAAAGAGCAAACTGGCAGCTACCCGATGCTGCTGGGAGATTTAGAGGAGTGGCCACACTGGCCAGGGACATTTAAGACTGTTACCATGCTGGCAGGTCTTTTGAGCCCTTTGTGTTCCCTGCTCAGCTCCTTTGGCTGAGCGGGGAGGTTGACACCTGCTTGGGGCCTTGGGGTTCCCAGCACTGTGCTGTTAATGGGGCATAGACATTGGCAGGCTGCCCACTGAGGACAGAGGACACAGAGTGTGTGTGTGTGTGTGTGTGAGAATGTGTTGGTGAGTATGAAAGTGAGAGGAACCTAAACGCTGGAAAGTGATTTCATGTCTTTATGCACCACAATAAAATCAACACGAGTGTGCCAACCAATTCATTCTGATTGAAGCCGGTCACGATAGTAAATCAATGCATAACCAGATTTAACCTCTGCGTGGGGGGGGGGGGCGCAGCTGTACACTTCTTGATTAACGTTTTCCCCCTTCAGCACACACTGTTAGCTAATCAAGCACAACCAAACTGACTGCTGCATTACCAAGGCAGGCCACCACACCTACACTCTTCCCTAATTTCTGTATGAAAATAAAATAGCATTTTTTTTTTTAAAGGAATAAAAAAAGTCTGTGTGTAGTTTCTACTCGAGGCAGAGCAGTGAGCTGGTGAAGGACAACAAGATAAGAGATACAGAGTGGCTTCCTCATGGCCTTCTTTGTTTAAAGATCAACAGGTGTACATCTTTAATAACAGAAAAGAAAAACCCACTTCCCTCTGCTGGGTGTAGATAAGTCACATTTAGATGCAGCACAAACATTCAACAGACTACAGCGAGAACTACGGCAAAGACAGAACACGGAACTATCAAGCAGGAAGAAAAGCTGACAGTTTACATTTCCCCTCCGAGTCCATTACTGTCAACAGGGAAGCACTGGTGGGAAACAAGCAACTCGACTTTCTGGAAAGTTCTGAAAATGTAAAACAACAATCTGTACAAGTCTTCAACACTCACTTCTAGAAAGTGGTCGGTAGAAGCAGTTACAGCAGCGCTGGTTGCTCTACTCCTGTTTGTTCCATTTCCTTTTACATTCCCACCTAAAGTCATTGATAGCAGAGCATCATAGGATGTCACAAAGACAATGACAAAGATATTGAATTAAATGAAGATAATCATGTCCTTACCGATCCGTAGCGAAACCGTAGACAACGTAGTGCACAGATGTGCGCTTTCTAACAAATGTAACTATATTCTGCTTTTCAGCAACGCACTAAAGCCATCTCCACTTCTCACACAACCCTCGCTCACTAACACAGTGAATGAAACGACGTAGAAACAGTGACGGCACGGAATAACCTCATATTCAGTCATGAAGTACTGCGGACCTTCCCACCGAATATAAGTGAAGCTTGATACGGCCTTTATTTATGCATTTAGTGTTGCCAACAATGGGAGAAATCTGACAGTGAATCAAAACCGGCTGCGTCGACGGACTGGCTTCATTCAAATGAATGGAGGGTT